CCATCCCCCCCAAAATAATCAGCACCACAGCTCAAGCCCTGCAGGTTGGCAGCACCATGTGGGCTTGGAGAAACCCCCCTGGTCACCAACCCTGCTGACAGAAAACATCCCCACTTCACCACCCCCGGAATTTTGGGGCCCCCAAAGAGAGGGGACAGAGCCCAAAGTGACCCCATGGGGGGTCCCTGCCTGCAAAGGACACGTTTCCTAATGACCCTCATTAATGGGGTTTAATTTCCTCCTGGTGGACACCTCAGGAGGAAAGGGGGGAGAGCTCTGGGTGCTCCCCCAGCCTCCCCTACCACTGCCAGCCAGGCTGGCCAGGTTTCAAACATCTTCATTAGTGTTAATGAGCAATTAGTAGAGGAGCTGGGCCAGGAGTGGGGCTGTTCCCAATCCCAGATCCTCCCCCCCCAACTCAACTGAACCAGCCCAGGATGAGAATTCAGTTCTTTCCATGGATCCAACCAAGGCAGGTTCCTCCTGGATCGTGGCAAGATGGGAAATGAGGGATCATTATGGATGGGGAGGAACAGGCTGGAGCTCTGAAGCCCCTCCAAGAACATTCCTGGGAAGAGGGTGCCCAAGCAGCACCCAAAGCTCTTCCAGAGCCAGGTTTGAAAGGTGGCAGGAAAAATATTGACTGATGTCTCAGAGCTTGACAAATTACTCAAGATTCCCCTGGGAATCTCAGTGCTGGATGTTTGGCAGAAACAAATCCCCAGGATGACAAACTCAACAACCTCCCTCCTCACAGGGACCTGCCCAAGCTGCAAATTAAAGCCCTTTTCCTGCAAACTCATTTCTTTCACATTCCTGGAAAGCCCTGGAGCATCTCCCTAGGCTGCACCAGGGAGGTGGGACATTCCTGAAACTGGGCAGCAGCATTTTTCTGACATTTCTGTCCCAGTAAAGAGGACAGGGAGACACTTGAGTGCCCAGGAGCTCATCTGCTGTGGCAGGAGGGTCCCAGGAAGATCTGCCCACTGGTTCTTTTCACATTTCAGGCTCTTTACAAGGGGAAAAACTAAAATTGTTAAAGAAAAAAGGGAGAAAAAGCCTTTCTGAACATAGTGACTGGTGGCTGGATGTGAGCCAGGGGGTGCCCAGGTGGCCAAGAAGGCCCCAGCATCCTGGCTGGTACCAGCTGTGGTGTGGGCAGCAGGAGCAGGGCAGGGATTGTCCCCTGTGCTGGCACTGGTGGGGCCAGACCTGGAATCCTGGGGTCAGTTCTGGGCCCCTGGGGACAAGAAGGACACGGAGGGGCTGGAGCGTGTCCAGGGAAGGGCAAGGGAGCTGGGGAAGGGGCTGGAGCACAAGTGTGAGCAGGAGCAGCTGAGGGAGCTGGGGGTGTCCAGCCTGGAGACAAGGAGCTGAGGGGAGACCTGCTGGCTCTGCAGCTGCCTGAGAGGAGGTTGGAGCCAGGGGGGGTCGGGCTCTGCTCCCCAGGAACAAGGGGCAGGAGCAGAGGAACCAGCCTCAAGTTGTGCCAGGGGAGGCTGAGGTTGGACCTTGGGAACAGTTTCTCCCTGGCAAGGGTTGTCAGGGCCTGGCCCAGGCTGCCCAGGGCAGGGGGGGAGTCCCCATCCCTGGAGGGGTTTCCAAGCTCAACACTGCCAGGGATGGGGCAGCCACAGCTTCCCTGGGCAACCTGGGCCAGGCTCTCACCACCCTCACACCAAAGAATTTCCTCCTCATGTCTCACCTCAATCTCCCTCTTCCAGTTTTCATCCATCCCCCTCATCCCATCCCTCCCTGCCCTTGTCCCAAGTCCCTCCCCAGCTTTCCTGGAGCCCCTTCAGGCACTGGAAGCTGCTCTAAGGTCTCCCTGGAGCCTTCTCTTCTCCAGGGTGAACACCCCAACTCTCCCAGCCTGGCTCCAGAGCAGAGCTGCTCCAGCCCTCCCAGCATCTCCATGGTCTCCTCTGGACTCTCTCCAGGAGTTCCATGTCCTTCTGATGTTGGAGGTTCCAGAACTGGACACAGTGCTCCAGGTAGGGTGTCATAAGAGCAGAGGGGAAGGTGTAGATGTGGTGCTGAGGGACATGGGTTAGTGGTGGCCTTGGCAGTGCTGGGGTAATGGTCGGACTTGTTGATCTGAAAGGTCTTTTCCAACCAGAACAATTCCATGATTCTGTGCCAACACAGAGGAGCCCAGCAGGGGGTTACAAACCCCTCAGGAGAGGAGATCTGGGAGAAGACTCACTCTTGCAGAGACCTGTCCAGCTCCTCGGTGGTGGCCGTGCCCAGGTGGGAGTTGCAGGAGAGTGGCTCCTCAGCACCCTGGGGGCTGCAGGTGACAGGGGGGGGCAGGATGGAGTCGGAGCCCAGACTGGAGGAGAGCTGGGAGGAACTGGTGGTGTTGAGGCTCAGGGTGGACGCCGTGAGCTTGGCCTTGGTGCCAGCCCTGCTGACGGGCAGGACAGAAGGTTGGACCTCAATCTCATCCGACCCCGAGGACTGGGAGATGGATCCCAGGGATGCTTTCCGGGGGGGTTGGGATGTGGAGGAGGTGAGGGGCTCCAGCAGCTCCGAGACAGGACACAGGCCAGACAGGGACAGGGGGGTGATGGTCCACTCGTTCAGAACCGCCGATTTATAGGAGAGCTGGAAGGTTAAGGACGTCAAGCCCTGCAAGTAGCTAAGGAGGAACTCACACTCCTCAGCATCCAAGAGCAGAGCAGTTGTCTGGTAGAACTCGGGCAGCCTGGACTTCTCCCTCAGCAGCAGCTTCAGGTAACACTCCACCAGCCCATCGTTCAAGGCCAACCTGAGCCAGGCCCGGCACCGCCCCACGTCCGTGGTGATGAAGATGAGTTGTTCCAGCTCTGAGACAATGTTCCTGGGGAAAGGGAGGAAAAGAACCATGGAATGGTTTGAAGTTGCAAGGGATCTTGAAGATCATCTAGATCCAACCACCCTGTATAGGCAGGGACACCTCCCACCAGACCAGGTTGCTCCAAGTTCCATCTAAGCGAGGGCTGGAGCAGCTCTGGGACAGGCTGGGAGAGTTGGGGTGTTGAGCCTGGAGAAGAGAAGGCTCCAGGGAGACCTTAGAGCAGCTTCCAGTGCCTGAAGGGGCTCCAGGAAAGCTGGGGAGGGGCTTGGGACAAGGGCAGGGAGTTAGGGGGTGAGTTACAACCCCAGGCACCAGTACAAATTAGGGATTGACCTGCTGGAGAGCAGCTCTGAGGAAAAAGATCTGGTGGCCAACAGGCTGACCATGAGCCAACAATGTGACCTTGTTGCCAAGAAGGCCAATGCCATCCTGGGGGCATCAGGAAGAGCATGGCCAGCAGGTCAGGGAGGTTCTCCTGCCCCTCTGCTCTGCCCTGGGGAGGCCCCATCTGGAGAACTGGGCCCAGTTGCAGAAGGACAAGGAGCTGCTGGAGAGAGTCCAGCCCAGGGCACTGAGATGCTGAGGGGGCTGGAGCATCTGCCTGGGAGGAAAGGCTGGGAGAGCTGGGGCTGTTGAGCCTGGAGAGGAGGAGGCTGAGGGGGGATCTGCTCAGTGCTGATCAATATCTGCAGGGGGTGGCAGGAGGATGGGGCCAGACTCTTCCCAGTGCTGCCCACGGACAGGACGAGGGGCAATGGGCACCAACTGGAGCCCAGGAGGGTCAAGCTGAAGATGAGGAGAAAGTTCTTTGCTGGGAGGGTGGCAGAGCCCTGGGACAGGCTGCCCAGGGAGGTGGGGGAGTCTCCATCCCTGGAGACATTCCCAGCCCTCCTGGACGTGTTCCTGTGGGATCTGCTCTGGGGGATCCTGCTCTGGCAGGGCTTGGATGGGTGATCTCCAGGGGTCCCTTCCCACCCCTGACACACTGTGACTGTCCAATTCTGTCCCTCCAAATGAAGAGCCTGAGCACACAGACCAGGGGACAGAGCCACCTCCTTCCACCCACCCACCTCCCTCCTCACCACCCCCTGCGTTCCACACCAAAGACGGGGCACAAACCTTCCCCACTCACCGATGCGTGATGCTCTTGAGCAGACCCCAAAAGACAGGTTGGGGAAGGGGTCCCCGACCTCCTGCCTTCTTCCCTTTCCCCCCACTCTCCATCTTGACATGTTTGCCCTTCAGCCCGTGCACAAAAACAGCCTCCAGGGCACTGCACAGGCTGTTGGCGTTCCCATCATCGCTGGTAACCACGGCGTCCGAGGTGACGTACTGCTTCTGCAGGGCCTTGATGGCAGCCACCAGCTGCTGCTTGATCAGCTGCAAGACAGAAGGGACAGACTGAGGATGACCAGAAAAAAAAGAACAAAAAAAAAAGAACTATCAGGAAATATCTGCCATGAAAAGGCTCCAAAAGCTGCAAGGCTCGTGTATTGGGAAGCGCCGCGCGACTCCACGTGCTTCGTGGTGGCTGATCTGTGGGCTCTTGGGGTCACAGTTTATCTGGTTTCTTCCTTGTTTTTAATTTAAAATTAGTCATTTAGGCAGTTGCTGCTGGTGTTTTGGGGCCCACTGGGTTGCTGGGGTTGATTGGAGAGCATGTGGTGGTTCCTCTGTGGGCAGCAAATTGTGGAAGAGGATGAGGGGAAAAGAAATCGGCTCTTGATTTGGTAGGTTGAGAGCTGGGGTGTTCAGCCTGGAGAGGAGAAGGCTCCAGGGAGACCTTAGAGCACCTTCCAGTGCCTGAAGGGGCTCCAGGAAAGCTGGGGAGGGGCTTGGGACAAGGGCAGGGAGGGATGGGATGAGGGGGATGGATGAAAACTGGGAGAGAGAGATTGAGGTGAGACCTGAGGAGGGAATTCTTTGGTGTGAGGGTGGTGAGAGCCTGGCCCAGGTTGCCCAGGGAAGCTGTGGCTGCCCCATCCCTGGCAGTGTTGAAGGGCAGGTTGGATGGGGCTTGGAGCAGCCTGGGCTGGTGGGAGGTGTCCCTGCCCATGCAGGGGTTGGGACTGGATGGTCTTTAAGGTCCCTTCCAACCCAACCCATCCCATGATTGTATGAGATCCCAGCTGAACTTGCAGAGTTGGCCATTCCTTGCTGGGAAGTGCAACTTCCATTTTAAATGGGGTTGACTGAGACATTTGGGCCCTAGGACAGGCTGCCCAGGGAGGTGGGGGAGTCTCCTTTTCTGCAGACATTCCAAACCCTCCTGGACACCATCCTGTGCAACCTTCTCTGGTTGACCCTGCTCTGGCAGGAGGCTGGACTGGATCATCTCCAGAGGTCCCTTCCAAGCCCTGACACTGTGAGTCCCTCTGCTGGAAGCCTGAACCACCCTCTGCTTGTAGGAACCATCCCAATCCCACCTGGCAGCACCACCAAGTCCTACCACGTCCCTGCTGGTAACTGGAGCTGCCCTGGGGAGTAACTGGAGCTGTGGGGGGATGTGGGGGGAGGGGTCACCTCACTCACCCGAATGGCTTCCTTGGGGTCATCGCTGTGGCTGGAATGCATCTCAGCTGCTGCTGCTCCTCAGACCAGGTGCTGCCCTCACATGGCACCTGGGGACAGGGACAGGAGCAGGTCCCAGGGCCCCTCTGGTCCAACAGGAGCTCTCCAGGTGTCACGGTGACCGAGCCAGGATGGCTGAAACTCTCCACAATTCCCAAGGACCTGGGGGGTTTCAGGCAAAACAGAGCCTGGCCAAGAAGAGGGAATAATTATCCCTTGGAAAAAAGGAGTAATTAACCCTTGCAAGGAGTAATGAAGCCTTTCAAGAAGGAGTAATTAACCCTTGCAAGGTGCCCACAGGCAGACCCTGGGTGAGATGCTGGGCCAGTTTCCTCTTGTTTGCACCTCACTGCTGTGCCCAGGAGGGCACCAAAACACCCAGGAGAGGCTGAGTGATGGCACCAAACCCCACGTGAAGGGCACTAGGGTGGCCCAGCAGACCCTGGGCAGAGGTGACAGAAGCTCAGGGGTGACAGAAGCTCAGGGGGTGACAGAAGCTTAGGGGTGAGAGCAGGTTAGAAGTGACAGCAGCTCAAGAGGTGACAGCAGCTCAAAACACCCAGGAGAGGCTGAGTGATGGCACCAAACCCCACGTGAAGGGCACTTGGGTGGCCCAGAAGACCCTGGGCAGAGTTGACAGAAGCTCAAGGGTGACAGCAGCTCAAGAAGTGAGAGCAGCTCAAGAGGTGAGAGCAGCTCAAGAGGTGACACCAGCTCAGGAGGTGACACCAGCTCCTCTCTCCAGAGGAGCAGCTGCTGCTGCTGCTGCTCCCGGTCGGGACGGAGCCTCTCCCAGGTGCCGGGTACTCGCTCCGCTGACATGGAGCTGCCTGGGAAGCTGGGGAGGCCAGATACAAACTCTCCATCAGGTTTCCAGTCCCTGCACTGGGAGGTAGGTGGATCCCAGGGTCTCTCTGCTCCCAGCTGGCAGGGCTGCTCTGCTGCAGCTTCGGTGGGAAAGGGAGGAACCCATGGGAAATCCGTGTCCTCGGCTGCGGGAAGCGCTGGGAAAACCAGAACCCAGCAGGTAGTGGCAGCTGAACTGGGGTCACCTGCCACCCCTGGAGGTTTGCAGGTGACAAGGGACATTTGGCTGGTGACTTCTGGCCTCCTGCCCTGCTTTCCAGAAGCTGAGCTGTGCCTGGAGGCTCCAGAAGCCAAGAGCTCCAGCTGCTGCCCCAGCTCCAGCTCCAGCTCCAGCTCCAGCTCCAGCTCCAGCTCCAGCTCCAGCTCCAGCTCCAGCTCCAGCACGGAGCTTCCTCAGGATCTGAGAGGTTGGAGAAGGAATCTATTCCCTTGAGTTGCAAGCACTTGCCATCAAATGGAGGAGGAGAGGGCCCAGCAGCTGCCTGCAGGGCTGGGATGCTCAGGGCACAGCGACTCCTCGGGTTTTATTCCAAGGTGACCCAAAAGCCCAGAGCTTTTCCTGACCACAGCTGAATCCAGAGCATCCCAGACCTGGAGCAGCCTGAATCCAGAGAATCCTGATCCTGGAACAGCCTGAATCCAGAGCATCCTGATCCTGGAACAGCCTGAATCCAGAGCATCCTGATGCTGGAACAGCCTGAATCCAGAGCATCCTAATCCTAAAGCAGCCTGAATCTGGATCATCCCAGACCTGGAGCATCCCAAATCTGGAGCATCCCAGACCTGGAGCCTGAATCCAAAGAATTCCAGACCTGGAGTAGCCTGAATCCAGAGTATCCTAATCCTGGAACAGCCTGAATCTGGATCATCCCAGACCTGGACCATCCCATTCCCACACCAGCAGGTCCCAATGGGCCCAGCAGGTCAAGAGCTCTTGGGCAACAAACCCAGAGCAATCCTCAGCATTGCCAGAATTCAGGGACAAGTTCAGAGGGAAGGAAACTGGTTTCACCACCACTTGTCATGAGATTTCCTCCCCTGGGGTTGCAGCACAGCCTGGGGGGGGGGCAGTGATTGCAGGAACAGTAACTCAGAGGCAGGGGGTGACAGGGACAGCAGGGGGTGACAGGGACAGTAGGGGGTGACAGGGACAGCAGGGAGCCACCCCCATGTCTCTGCACACACCCTGCACCCCAGCAGCACCTCCCACCTGAGGGCTGGGAGACCCCAGGGTGGGAGACCCCAACATTTCTCCCCAGGGGTGTCTCAGCTCCAGGGCCCCACTTGTCACTTCTGCTCTCAGCACCCCCCCCCCCCCCCCGTGTCCCCAGCTGGTCCCAGGGGAGGGGGTGACACTGGTGTTTGTGCCAGGACCTCCTCCAGGCTCCCCACAACCCCACACTCCTCTCCCAGTGTCTGCAGCAGGAGGACAGGACACCCACTGCCTCCACCATGAGACTCTTCCCTCCCACCACAACCAGTCCAACCAGTTTGTTCCAGGGCTGTGAATCCACAGCTGGGGCAGCATTTTCCTGAATAACCAGTGTCAGGCAGCAGCTCTGGGGTGGATCTCACCCAATACAAGGTGCCAGTGGAACACGAGGAGGGAATTCCTTGCTGTGAGGGTGGTGAGAGCCTGGCCCAGGTTGCCCAGGGAAGCTGTGGCTGCCCCATCCCTGGCAGTGTTGAAGGGCAGGTTGGATGGGGCTTGGAGCAGCCTGGGCTGGTGGGAGGTGTCCCTGCCCATGCAGGGGGTGGGACTGGATGATCCTTAAGGTCCCTTCCAACCCAAAGTAGTCTGGGATTCTATGAACAAGGGGCACTGGAACCAGCAGCCCTGGCTCTAGAAGGAACCAGAGGGTTCCATGGGCACTTCCCAGCAGATCCTGGAAAACTATGGTTGTTCCTTGAGATTTTGAAAGGCTAAAGAGACAGGGTGGATGTGCAAACGTGGGGCCAACACATCCAGAGCAGAAAAAAACACCCAACTCACAGGGTTCCCCAGCAGTTCCCACCTTGGAGGTTGGGCAGGCAGAGCAGGGCAGCTCCAGGAAAGGAAAGAAAGTGAAACAAGAGTAAAACAAGTGAAATAAAGGAGTTAAAAAAAGGAAAAAAGAGGAAGACAAGAGAAGAAAGAAAAGGGGAGAGAAGAAAGAAAAGACAAGAGAAGAAAGAAAAGAGAAGAAAGAAAACAGAAGAAAGAAAAGAGAAGGGAAGAAAGAAAAGACAAGAGAAGAAAGAAAAGAGAAGAAAGAAAAGAAAAGAGAAGAGAAGAAAGAAAAGAGAAGAAAGAAAAGAAAAGAGAAGAAAGGAAAAGAAAAGAGAACAAAAGTAAAGAAAAAAGAGTAAAAGAAAATAAGAGTAAATGTAAATAAAAGAGAAAAGAGAGTAAAAAAGAGTAGAAGAAAGAAAGAAGGATAAAAGAAAGGAAATAAAAAAGAGTAAAAGAAAGAAGAGGAGTAAATGAAAGAAAAAGAGGAAAAGAAAGAAAAGAAACAAGAGTAAAAGAAAGAAGAGTAAACCAGGGATCATCAAACCAGAGGAAACCAAAGGAAAACAAACAAGTGAGAAAGAAAATCAGCCTGAGCAGTGAAACCTACCGAGGAGAGTCCCTGGTGCCTGGGCAGAGCTGGTGATCTCCCCAGCTGCTGGGACCAGGCAAATCCCTTGGGAATGGCTGGGAGGGCTCCAGGCTGGTGGCAGGAGGAGCAGAGACCCCGTCCCAGGCTCAGCTCCCTGTTCCCTCAGTGTTCCCTGAGTTATAAATACCCAGGGAGGGAAAACAGGAGCCTGGGCTGGTGCAGGGAAAGGTGACTCAGGCCTGGCTGTGGGGACAGTCACACCCGGGCACGAGGGCTGAGCTGGTCACCCTGTGCCCTGGGGACAGGGGGGGACAGACACAGCCCCCTCCTCCAGCCCCTGCAGCCCCACCTGGCTGGGAACTGGGCCCAGACTGGGCAGGGTGGGAGGAGGAGAGGGAGCTGGGACAGCCAGGGGGGATAAAGAGGTTTGGGAATAGTTCATGGGGGGGGGGTGGGAAGGGTTGGAGCCCAACTGCCCCCAGCCCAACCCCCTGGCATGTCCAGAAGGGCAGGGAGGGATGGGATGAGGGGGATGGATTGAAACTGGGAGAGGGAGATTGAGGTGAGACATGAGGAGGAAATTCTTTGGTGTGAGGAGGGTGAGAGCCTGGCCCAGGTTGCCCAGGGAAGCTGTGGCTGCCCCATCCCTGGCAGTGTTGAAGGGCAGGTTGGATGGGGCTTGGAGCAGCCTGGGCTGGTGGGAGGTGTCCCTGCCCATGCAGGGGGTTGGATCTAGATGATCCTTAAGGTCCCTTCCAACCCAACCCAGTCTGGGATTCTGTGATTTTTGGGTGCTCCAGGTCCCCAGTTGGGACCCTGGTGACCCCCCTGGCTATGGGATGCACAGCACTGGGATCTGGGCTTCCCATCCCCCCACATCTCACCCACAGACCCCCGGGTCTCAGCTCTGGGAAGGTCCCTCCTGGGCAACTGTTGGTACCTGCTGGGCTAGTGCTGAGCCCCCCCCAGGCAGGTCCTCCCACACTAACCCCCAGTCACACAAACGGGTCTGATGGTCTTGCAGGTCCCTTCCACCCCAGCCCAGGCTGGGACTGTGGGGTTCTATCACTCTGGCTCCTTCCCAGCACCACCAGCATTCCCACCCCAGGAGGCAACAACCCACCCTCTTCCCCAGGGAAACAACCTCCCTGGAGGTGACAAACCTGCTGGGGGATGGAGAAGACTCGTCCCTGATGAACTTCTCCAGCTCCTGCCGGGTGAAGCAGCCCCTGAGCTCCCAGCCCTGCTCTTCAGAGTCCAACCTGGTCCTTCTCAAACCCTCCACAAGTGGGAATTTCTTCCAGCCCGTTCCCAGCTCCTGGGTGGAGATTTCCTGGAGCTGCAGGTAAAACCAGGTTGGATTTACCCGCTGCTGAGGGTGAAGGAT